AGGCGCGGTACTTCGCCACGGCGAACGCGCGGCAGTGGGGTGGCGGCGGGGGGTGGGCGAAGGATCGGGCAGCCCCGTCCTCCAAAGGTTTCCCGCACCAAGGGGCCTGTACCGTCCCACCCATCCCCAGGCGACTCGTTCCCGTGGAGTGGGACAAGTGAGCGGAATGGGGTTGAGCAGGGGAGGGAGAGGCGCCGTGGCATGTGCTTTGAAGGTGTGGTTTAACCGGTATCGTACCCTAGCCCAGACCGCATCCCCAATCAGGTGATAGGGTGCAAACGGAAGCGCCAGACCTCGTCTTGTTTGATTGCCAAGATGATTCGATTTGTATTTCTTTTGGTTGAAGGCGGGGAGGGGCGGGGGGCTCCTCATGCATTTGGAGTTCTTTATCTGATGTATTAGTTACTTTTTTAGTGTAGTTCGCGTAACAACATTGCGCATGTATAGATTGGTGGGTATCTTTCAGATATCTTTTCTGCTTTCTTTCCTTTCAAGCTTCTCTATGTGAATGTTAGTCAATGATATTGATGCCCTGCACTCCTATCGTATGAAATGAGTGCATTAGAATAAAAAAATGAGGCACTAAATGGAAGGGATGGTGACTCTACACCTGGTGTTCTTCTTTAAAGTTTTTCATAGGCCTTTCTCAATATCTTTTCCCCCCTTAAATAATATATGACTCTACCAGCATTCCGAATTATTTTTTTCGGTTTACACTAGCTAACTTTTACTTTGGGAATACATATTTATATATACGGTGTGTTAGCTCTTTGAACGTTGCGAAAAAACTAACGTATAGCAACCAGTTAGAACTAGATTAAAAAAGTATATAATTTCTTGTTATACTCCCCGCTTAAAGGCGAAATTTTCTCGTGTGAATCACTTGCGTATTGTTAACCTACAACAGCCATCGTTCATAGATCCGCGGTTAGGCACCCATAGTCTCAAGGCAACCATCGGCATTTCAACAGCTGAATGGAAGTGCGAAATTGGGGGTCTAGTGAGAATGGCGCGAAGATTGCTGAGGTGTCTGAGGGGACATCACTTGTTTCAAGCAGCGCTTCAAACCTATTGAATCCTAGTGAGGACCTGCTTTGGATCGCCGGCAGCGTCCCACAGCATGTTACTCTGAAGTTAAGCCCCACCCATCCGCCGTTGCGTTACGCTGGCTGGCATGTATGGCATGATTACCCGACGAACCCCAGCAAGGTCGAGATCTCCTCCGGCGAGTCCCCGGACGGGCTCACGCCTCTACTTGTCTGCCGGGCCCTTCCTGGTGCAGGGACGCAGCTGTGGTTGCTGCCGAAGCCAATTCCGCCGCAACACCTGTATGTAAAGCTAAGGATTACGGAGAGCTTTAGTGCGGGGCCGACGTACATGAGTACGGTGGTGCTCCTCGCGAACGACCCTGGCCCGAACTACCGCGGTGGGGCCCTGCCTGCCGCGAGGATAGGGGTCCCCGAGCCGCCCCCTCTTGACGACGCGGCGACGACCTCGCCCAGGGCTCCCGATGTGCCGCCGAGGATTTTGGTCCGGCACGGGCGAACCGAACAGCTGCCGCATCGTGGAACGACACCGAACCTGGCCTCAGCGGAGCAGAGTTATACCGTATTCAATCCGGGTGGTACCTCGAGTGGGGAACCGATGGGTGGGACTGACCAGCTGGCGAGTGCTTCGGCCCCGAAGTCCACGGGAAGTCGGATAGGGAAGCTGCTGAAGGATCTTGAGGAGGATATCCGCAATCTGCACCCGATAAAGGGGGTCCGACCACCGCCTAACATGCTTCTGGCTGCTCCACGCGGTGCCTCGCTATTGTCGCCGTCTACGACGGAGACCAGCAACAGCCTCAGCATCGAGGGGGAAGGCAATCGGGCCGATACGCATCCGGCTCGTGGGGAGGGCAGGCGATCCCCTAGATCCCAAAAAAAGGTCCATGAAGAACTCCCCGCCGCCGCGCCTCACCATTGCTGCACCGGTGCGGTTGTTTGGGGGGGGCGTCAGGGGGCTGTTGGGGCTTTACCACCACAGTTGTTTGCGTCGGTAGCTAAACTAGACGATCGTATTAACATCTTGGAGCAAACGGTGGCGTCTCTTACCCAGACTGTTCAGCATCAGCGGGAGGATTTAACAATGATGAAACGTTTGCTGCTGCATCAGGCGATAGAGCAACGTAAGGAATCGGAGTGGAGGCATAATGCACATCGGGAAGGGGAACAGCGACGTGCCGGGACTCTGCTTCCGATGAATTCCCTCGACCATAAGCTAACCCATCATCAAATCGATGTTAATTTCCCAGAAGAGGCATTGCGAGAATATGTAGAATCCATCATGGAGGAAAGACTGCAGACCCAACTAAAAAAGAGCGAAAGTAAAATTCTTAGGCGTCTGGATATCTACTTGAAAGATGTCGTCCGATGCATTACCGATTCCGTAGACGTGCATTTAAATCATGTCTTCCAGCAGCAGCTGAAGGGACCAAATCTGCCGCCATCCGAGATATTGAAACACTTAACGCACGCGGGATCAAACGCCACCACAGAGGTTCCGTATGGAAAAAATGGTAATGTTACTGCGCTGAATCATGCGGGCATCCCACCGGGGACTGCTTAACATCTACTTATAGGAATCCCTAAGTTTTGAATTGTCTCCAGTACTCTTGTAACTTCTCGTCTCTCTCTTTCTGTGTCGTTCCGATCTTTGATCTCCCTTTCTTCTTCGAAAGGTGTGAATCGGTTAAATTCATTTCAGGCAATTTATGCGGGTCTGAAGGCGCTCATAACCCATGTCAAAATCTTTTTAATGCGAACACTGAAACAACGCTAGCGGAGTAGCGCGTGTTTTTAAAATTACTTTCTAGAGGAAAAAATGTGGCATTCTGAAAGTATATATTAGCTAATTTTTATTAGTTTGAGCTCACCAATTTATGTGCTGAGCACAAATGATAATAGGACTCATATTTATAGACTGCAATTGTATGTGTCTCAATCATATTCGCCTCATCCGACTATGGGAAAAGGTTTTATACTGCTAGAAATGGATACACTCAAAAAGCTGGACCGTGTAATGTACATGAGCACTAACTAAAAGGATGCCGCATAGCTAGATTCTCTGATGTGATTCATTCGATCACAATTCCTTAATAATGGTATCACTATGACAAAGCGATGCTAATAATAATGTGGTCAACGGAACCTAGCCCCTGATGCAAATGAAACTATTTTTTTCACCTATCCATTTGTTGATGACCCTTTTATGTGAACAATACATTTCGGCTTGGCGCCTTGCTGTGCTGAAGAAACTCAACATAACCAATCAAGCTAGTAGGTAGGTTATAGCATAATAGGTAAGTCTGCAGTTTCTTGGAAGTGCTTAATATCGCTTCTTTCATTTTCAGGATCTATATTTTAGTGTTAGTATCAATAATTCCTTCGACAACTCTTGAGGAAGAAAGGAAGAAAAAAAATCGACATAGAAGAATTCACAGCGATGCAGGCCCGCAGGAATAGTATGATTAACCGCGTCGCTCGCCGCTATGCGCGAGTTCCCGGAGAGCATGGTGATGGCAACGCTCCTGCGTTTTATCCCATATCCATCAATCCAGGGTGGTGGGGGCAACCCTTTGCGAAAGTTAAAAATGGCAAATACCAAGTCATTTTTTTTCACCTGATAATCTTCCCAGTAGTGTTCTACTGGACCTTCGACGTCACCTTTGGGCAGCGCGCGCGCATTGGAACTCTCGGCAAGCGTGCGCTTCCCTCAAACTTCGCCTTCAGACAACTCGATTTAGATGATCCCGATCATGCCATTAAGTACGAGAGGCTCCAGGAGGAGATGGCTGAGAATAAACTAGAGGTTCGCTGGGGTGGCACAAACTTTTTGGCAAGTTACTTGTGGGAGCCCGGCGATCCAGAGCCCGATATTCGTCGAAAAGAACCCCCGAAACATGCCCATGGGCACCACTAGTAGATTTGCATCAAACTATGTTAGTGTTCATTTCTTGTTTGCGTGTTTACTTTTGTGTAGTCTACGTATTAGGAAACGTATTATTTAGCCTAGAGAAAAGGATCGAAAAAGCGAAAATGAATGGGGGATCCCTTCCTCCGTCTCCCCCCTCCTCCTGGAAGTGGAGCAGGGATCTTGATAGTTTCCATTGGTGCATGCAGTAACTTATGAAAAAAAATATGTTTCCATTCATTATTTCACCTTTCCTTCTTTTCTAACTTTTGTACTTAGCATTTATATTTGAATTTCTGAAGCCTTTTACTATCGTCAAATCATGGAAACCGCATCGTCAACTGAATGAAAACAACCCCTCACCAACTCTTCAGTTAAAAATGAATCCATACACCCGAAGTAGTGTTACGCTTCTTATGATTGTCATCAACCTTTATTGGATTGCAGGACTTTTTATCATCTTCCTTAGAGCCAAAGAGCCGCATTTTCGGCAGCTAACGCAGTACGGTGGTCGTTTAGCACCTGGGACTTCCTACTTCAGCAGCGGCGAAAAGTTAGAGAAAATATCCCGTAGAATGACGGCTGACGCTCTTGACCACGGCAAGGCGCGTTATGGCTTGCTTACGATCCGGGTTGCAGTTAGCAAGGCGTTGAACAGAAGCATGTGGCATGTTACTTCGATGATAAGGTTTGTGGAAGGCTCATTTTTCGGGCGTGTCCGGGTATGTCGTCGGGATAGCTTCTGTCTCTTTTATCTTAGTGGTATTCTTACCTGTGCTGGGCTATGGGTCGAGGCATTGATGCACTTCACTTTATTTTCGCCAACAAAATCGCATCTGGGTGCGCCGTTACGCGTTGAGGCCTGCCTGCCTCTCCTGGCGTTCTCCGTTCACGTTGTAGTTCGCTTAGCAGAGTGTTTAATGTTGCAGGAATTTCGAGACCAAAAGGACGATCGCGTGTCGCTCTTTGCAACCCTTGCTGGGTGCTCTTTTTACGTTTTCGCTCCGTTTTCCAGTAATGGTAGGTTGATTTATTCTATATCTCTGTGGGCTTATGGGGTTCTGCATGATAGGATGCTCGAGGACGTCCAAATCAATACCACCTTTGATTACACTGTAGTCAATCCTTTTGAATCCTATATCTCTAGTCGAGCGGCTCGATTACTGATGTGGTCTCTTTTCGCAATACACATCCTAGTGCAGCTGCTGCAGGTAGTTCATCACCGCATTCTGGCTAAGCTGCGCCTCTCATCTCCTAGCTTTACAGAGGGGGACCTTCCACCGATAATTTTTAGCGTAGCAAGCCAATTTCAGTCGATTGATTCAGCTTCCGTTGCTTGTCATCGCCAGAGTGGATTCTACGAAAATGAGGGCGAAATTGAAGGTAAACTTCAAACGACCGCTCAAGGCTGTGGTGGTTGCAAAGGGCATAACTTCAATGTTGCAGCATCCGGAGTTTCTAGAGGCATAGATTCGTTGACTAAACGCATGGTTTTAGATCGTCGTGTTTGGACCTATCGGTTTCCCCAAAGACTACTATTTCTCTACGTACAGGAGCCACATTACAGCTGTGAGGTGGTGATGTATGGAATTAATTTGATATCAATGCTGGTATTGTTCATTTCGCTATTCCCTCGCTCCGCATCTTTATATTCCTCTGGGAGGCTTGCATATATTTCAACCATCCTACTACGTGAGCCATTCAGCCTATTCTTTTTGGCAGAGCATATAGCCTGGATGCAACTGTCCGCTGCATTTTGGGTGGGACTGTTTACGCTGTGCAATCTTGCAATTACTTCAAGCGAGCATCAAATGTTTTGGTGGTACCTCAATTCGACTAGGAAAAATATACGGTGTGCTATAAACCAGCTTCCTGACGCTAAGCTACAAGTTTTCAGGCAGGATGGAGGAGGCCGTGCTAAAGCATGCAAGACGGTTGATGAACTTACCCGTCCTGAGGCAGTGCCGCGATGGCGTCTGTTTGCGTTTATATATTAATAAGCGTTTCTCATGTAAACTTATTCAGCTTCCGCATCTAGAAACGGAAAGCAAAGTGCCATGAGAGCTCTGAGGTGATAAAGATGATAACAAAACGACTCCAGTGAATATTAGTGCATTTTACGACTTGCGTCATTCATTCACTCAGAATGTAAGTATATCACTCCTCCCTGTCTTAGTTACATTTGCTTGCTGAAAGGGAAATCATGCCTCCGTTAGGCTCTACCTACACGTTTGCAGATTTCTTGCTTCGTCTGCAGCGAAGTCCAACGTCACACATGAGCCTTCTCTATCATCAACACAGCCAGCTGTTTCGTGGCCGTCCTGACATGTTCACGAAGTCTGTTCTCTCCGTGAGCTGGGAACGGTCGTTAGCGCTGCTCGATGCCGCGTACTACTCTCAACCTATCGAAGTGGAGACCTATGACGGTGTTCTTAGACGGATGCTTCTGCACAATAAATATGTTTCGCGTACGGGCTCTGGGCAGTTGGTAGGATGGAAACCAGCGATGCGAGTCTTTTCGGAAGCTATTTTAGCGCACGGGAACGCCGTTCCAACACACATGTTGGTCTCAGTTCTTCGGCTCCTCGTGCCGCACCGCCGCGCCGCCACTGCGTTCAAGGTTCTTCAACTCGCTCAGGCGAATAATAAACTCACCAAGCCGATGCTTGTTGATGCCGCTCACGCCTGTGCGTCGCAAGATTCCTGGCAACAAGCCTTACACTTACTTACGCACCTCCACAAGGAGGATCCAAGTTATCTCGCAGGCGCCATTCAGAGCCTCCGCCCCGTGGGGACCGATGCGTTGAGCGCAGAGAACGCGCAGCATTCCGTCCTGCCAAACACCCCCACACCGAGGCCTGACGCGACTCAATGGCATATCCTTTGTGTACTGAACGATGTCGTCAGTAGTGTACCGTGGGAAGTGGCCATTAAAAACGAGCTATGCTATTCATACCTAAGCCACCTCACGGCCAGCACCGTCTTGACTGTTGAGGAAAAGGCGCAGGCGCTTAGCAAAGCAATCCGGCAGCTCCCGTGGAACATTACCATGGCGCTGCTCAAAAAATACACTGAACCAAATCTGCTTTCCGATGTTGAGTGGAAACAGCTAAGCTTAGAACTACCGGACCCTTCCTTGGCTCGGTTGGAGGCACCCACCGGCAAGGAGGGCGGTGCTCTGAACGCTCCGCACAAGGCAAAGCGTCGAAAAAGGAAATCGAGAAGTTCAAAGGGCGCCAAGATCCCCGCGAGTCTGGGGGCGGGTCGTGAGAAAAGTGCCATGGAGAACTGGAACGAGGTCACGCCGGGTCCCTCCCACGCCGATCGCCCTCCCCAACCCGACCCGGCCGCTGGGGGTTCCGCGTTGGCGGTGAGCCCGCGTGACGCGTGGGGGCTGGTCGCGCGCCACTTCC